GCTTTATTTGTTACACGGCCAGAAAATATCAAAGCTGAAAGGCAGAGATGAAAAATGACTGATTTGAAAATGATTGCTGAGCTTTCTATTAAACCACCACAGGCTAGGAACGGATGGCTATTTGCATAATTTAACTGGCATCTTAATTATTGTGTCAGGAATCCGTATGCAAATGACTTAAAGTCACTTAGAAACATAAACTTACTCCGCTAAACGACTAATGGACTAAATCGTATCAAGTTAAAAGACACAACGTGAGCGTAACCGCGGCCTGTAAATTGGTTTGACGAAGAAACAAAGAAAAAGGACACGACCGACACAGCAAGTAAATTCAAGCTTACCTTGGTTAGCCTGGAGAAAAATGGCACGTTAGAGGTGTGTGTATGTGTGTGTTTTTTCTTCTTTTGGGGCAGCTGAAAGGGACCTACCACGTAAAACAGTGAGTCTGGTGGTCGCGCTCGTCTCTCCAACACTGTTGGAGGCGACGCATTCATATATGGCTTCGTCTCGGGGCGTGCGCAGTGGCTGAATTCTTAGCACTGAACCAGGCAGGAGGGGGCTCAGCCTTTCATCGCTCATATGTGTTTCAAATCGTCTTTGGTGATGAACCGCGATTAATTAATCCGCCATTTAAAGCATTAGCGCGCTAATGTTTGACGCGTTTGAGAATCAATTTGGCTTAAAGTCGTAAAGACGTGGTCGCTGGCATGAGCATGAATACGACGGTGTGTGTGTAGCATTTTGTGTGTGTTTTTGTGCATCTATTTGGTGTCTTGTGGGGCGGCGCGTATTTATCAAAAGGCCCCAGAGTAAGAACATCATAGAAGTCTTTTGTTACTTACATCAAAGTGACCATCCAGCAAACTAAAGGATGACGTCCCGTAATAAATGATTCCTGTGATCAGAGGAAAAATCAGGCTCTCAATTTTGCAAATAGAAATCCTCCAGTTTTTGTCTCTGATGGGTTTTTCTAAAAAGGTCTGTTTGATTTCTCGGCCTTTGGATTCATTCAAAATGTCCCCGCCTTCAGTTCCTTCAGTTCCTTTAGTTCCTTTGATCTTTTGTCACACCTCCTCCACTTTCCACAGCAACATCTCCACAGCCAGAGAGGTCACTTTCCAAGTAGCTCTCAGCAGTTGAGTTCTTTCTAGGAATTGACTTCAAACGTATCAATAGGGACACAATTTTAGTTGGATCATAATCACATTCTATGAAGCTGAGCTGGTTTCAGCTCACAGATGTCCCCCCCCCAGGAGTAAATATCAGCTCACAGGTGTGAGTATCGGCCCGTTCCTCAGATGGACACAACCGGCTTATTTTAGGTCTAAGAAGACGATCTTTGGGAGAAAAGGCTCCACTCTCAGCCGCGGCTCATAATTGGGTCTCGTGGGCGCCGGTGTAGCGAGCTAGCCCCCCCCCACACACACACCCACACACACCCCTTTGCCCACTGCGCCAAAGAATGAGTGATGGCCGAGGGACCGAGACCCACCGGTGCAGAAACAGAAGCTAACAGTCCGTGAGAGTGGAGAGCTGTGCAGATTCAGGAGAGCCGCTGCGCTGGAAAAATACTTCTTCTGGCTTAAGGGGGGGAGACAGGGAGAGGGACGGGGGAGGGGGGGGACACAGCTTTTCCTCCTCGCTGTAGCACCGCCCCGTTGCACTCATCACCCGTTTCATTAAATCCCTTTAACCGTTTTTTTTCCGGTTGTCCGTGGCCTCAGAGCTACGGGAGGCCGGTTGATGAGCTAAATGTGGCTCGTCGGCTGGTAGAACAGGAGCGGCCGCTGTGTTTGTTGTGTTTGGTTGTGCAGTGGCATGCGCGCAAGCTTTTAGGTAACCGCTGTGTTTGGCTTTCAAATTGACTGTGTGTGTGTGTGTGTGTGTGTTTGTGTGTGCGCGCTCCAGATAATCCCGCCCCTTGGGATGCTCGGCCCTCAGCCTCCCCAAGCCTGCCGGAAGTAGCCCCTCCCATCGACAGCCTCTCCACGCCATCGCCCTCATCTCACCCGGCCGCCGACCCGCCTCGCCTGCCGCCTCCGGACTTCCTCCGCGACCCGGTGGCACGAGACGGCGGGACGGAGCGTTCCAAGAGCCCCCGGAGGGGCGAGCCGCCCAACCCCGAGCCGCTCGGCCCGGGGAGGAGAGCGGCTTCGGCCAGGAAGGAGGGTGGCAGGTCCACCCGCGTGGGCCACGCGGCCCGGCCCGCCGCTGAGCGGGAGGGGCAGAGCGGGGAGCCCAAACCGCCCAGGGGCACCAGGGGGAGGTCCCAGGAGAGGAACACGGAACCGCCCGGCAGCTCCAAGCTCCCGCACACCAACGGAAACGGCGTCCTCGACGCGGAGCGGCCGGGAGGGGGAGGCCCGGGGGAGAGCCGGCCCGGCCCGCCCTGCAAGGGCGGCGCGGCCGGCAGGAAGGCCACGGTGTCTCCGGGGCCCTGGAAGATCCCCGGGTCGGACAGGCTGCCCGGCTCGCTGCGCGCCGGCACCTCCACGCTGAGCAGGTAGCGCGGAGCCGCACGCGCCCGCCTTCCTGCCCTGCTCGACACCCCCCCAAAGCCCCCCGCCCGCCCTTCTCCCGCAGACCACAGAGTCAGGACCACGGGGTGCGGGGGGGGGATCAGAGTTTTATTTATGATAC